TCAATATACTGCTGCAAACGTTTCTGAATTATCATCAGTAATATCTTACTTGCATGTGATATTAGTGATATTGTTCTATAATTTCTACATTCTGTGGGATCACCTTTCTTTATGCTACCATAATAAATGTCCAGTTATATCTTAAGTATATTTTGAACTAAACACTAAACTTAGAAATTAAAGCAAAATGGAAAGCACATTTGCTTCTCTTAGTTTTGTCTGGTAAATGGAAGGGGAAACTAGTTTTACTGAATTCTTAAAATCATGTCTGTGTGGCTTTAGTATATTCACAGAACTGTTGTAGCCACCATCACAGTCAATTTTAGAACACTTTAATTATCCCTAAAAGAAACCCCACACCCCTTAGCTATCCCCCCTCAAACTCTATACCTTCAGCCCTAGATAACTACTAATCTGCTTGCTGTCTGTAGAGATTTGCCTATTCTGATCATTTCTTATAAATAGAATCATCCTGGATATGATCTTTGTGTTTAATCTTGACAGTGTTCTTAAAACTTTGTAGTGTGAGGTTAGGGCCTTTCTTCATTTCCGTACTGTAAGTTAAAATTTTTTATTCACCTTAACTCATACTTTCTTTGGGCATTAGGGAAATGATAAAGAGGCACTTAAAACCAAAAACCAAACCCACTGCTGTTGAATCGATTCCAACTCATAGCAACTCCATTGGGTTTCCTAATTATATAAATGTTTTCATCATAGTGATAGAAGATGAAAAAGAAAGGCAGTCACATTGATTCTGTGTTTGTGAAAGCATTATCATTAGTTAGTTTAGACAGAAGTTTGGCTTAAAACTGGTAAGAGGAAGCTGATTTACTGATGATACTAGAAACTAGTATGACTAAGCCCTTACTCTTATAGGTTGCAAGAGTTTGGAGTCTTTATTCAATGAGCACAGCCTTTTTAAAAAGCTAGCTGATTTGAAATGAAGGTTGGAAGATCAGGCTCTTAAGGTTATGGTTTTCCTTATCCTCCTTGCTATCTAAGTGAAAACATTTATTTTTTATTGGATGTACAGTAAACAAGGTTTTTGATCAAATAGTTTATAAAATAGTATCTCACATTTCTGATTTCTGCTTGTGTTTCTTTTTCTCTGAAGATTTTTTTGAATAAACTACCAAACCCAAGAAAGAAACTCCTTGTACCTTGTGCACTAGATCCTCCCAACTCCAATTGTTACGTATGTGCCAGCAAGCCAGAGGTGACTGTGCGGCTGAATGTTCATAAAGTGACTGTTCTCACATTACAAGATAAGGTAAACACTGGGACTAGTTGTCTTCCCACGGAGTTTTCCATTTTCCTTCTATAGATAGCCATGTTCTTTTTTTGCCTGTTATAGTGATAAAAGCTAAAAGCTACATATTTATTCTGAAAGGCTGTGACTGCTGTGGTTTGTTGCTTTGACTTCATGGCTTGCTTTACTATTTGAATTCCTGCTGGCTTTTCTCTCTGTGGTTCCAGAATATATGCCTCATACCCCAAAAAGTAATAGATGTATTTGGCTGAATCTGTCCCATAGGTGGTATGGGCAAATCTCCATAGTACCATAGCCAGCAGATTACATCTTTTCTCTTTGTTTTCTAGATAGTGGATGTATTCTGTATTTGGTGGTCAGACAAGAGGTACCCTTGAATAGTGTGGAGATGGTCCTAGCTATAGCAGTGAGCATACAAGTTTTACATGCAGTGTAAATGGTTAAGATGATGAGGATCTCCTTCCCAGGAGAGCAAAATTCCAATTTCTAGCTTTGTATTTAATACATGGGTAACTTGTAGGATTTGGGGTACTTTGGATGCTGGACAGTCCTTTGTTGTTGTTATGTGCCATCGAGTCGGACCTGACTCATAGCGACCCCTCCTTGGGTTTCCGAGGCAGCATCACTACGGAAGTAGATTGCCCCATCTTTCTTCCGAGGAGTGGCTAGTGGGTTTGAACCACCAGCCTTTTGGTTAGCAGTCAAGTGCCTTAGCCACTATGCTACCAGAGCTCCCATCACAACCAAAGTAAGAAGCTGTGTTAAAGTTTGCTGACCAAAAAAAAAAAACCAAACTCACTGCCATCAAGTCAATTCTGACTCATAGTGATCCCCTTTGGGTTTCCAAGGTGGTAAAGCTTTATGGAAGTAGATTGCCCAGCCTTACTTTCACGGAGTGACTGATGGGTTTGAACCGCCAGCCTTCTGGTTAGCAATCAGATGCCTTAGGCACTGTGCCACCAGAGCTCCTTCAAGGTTTGGTGACAGTATGCAGTTTTTCCCGTATGACCAGATGCTGGTGAGTTAAGTTATAGTCCCTGATAAGATAGGACATTTGTATACCTGGGTTCATCTATAGAGCCAGAATGAGAGAAATCGGAGTTTAAGATACAGTCTGTTGATATGCTCCTTCTTCCTAAATTGGTTATGTTAGCTTCTTCATTAGGGAAAATTTTTGAAATGATTCAAATGACAGACTTTTGGGATGACTCCACATTGCTTCTTCTTGTTATGTCCATCCTAATGTTAAATATTTAGATACTTCCTGAGATAAGAGGACTAGATCTTTGTGGCTCTAAATGCTGCTTGATGATAAAGGGACTTTATCCCAGTACTGGTTACACAGGGCAGGTTGATTTGAAATTACATTTTGGATGGGTAGGGAAATAGCCAGTCTTCTGTACTGGCCTTGTAGAGAGTGATTGAGCTACTTCTTTCATAGAAAGTAATTTCAGTTGGTATCTACTGATTCTTGGGCTTAAAAGTAATTCCTCTAATTTGTAGAGCATTCCTCCATTGTTTTATAGGAGCAGATAGGATTTAAAAGAATGTTATTTCTCCTGATGCATCTTAGAATTTAAAGAGAAATGGAACTTGAAACAGAAAGGCTATCTGAGAATCAGGTTCATGAGAAATTTTTCTATCTATAAAATCCTGCCATTATACAGTTGGTACAGGCGCTGAGTGAGATAAAACATGTCAGTGTCTAGCTCAGTACCTAATTTGCAAGGAAAGATAAAATACCAAGACCCAACTAAGGAGTTCTCAGTACCCCTTTTGGAGGAAGTTTATTTAACTTTATCTGCATCAGGGCTGGAACATAGGCATGAGACAATTGAGTGAATTCCCACTGGTTTTCTTGCTTACCCCAAGGTATCTTACAGTATGAGTTGTCCCTTTTCCAGGGGAAGAGGAAAGTGAGCACCTTTATTGAAAAAATTCTAGGTTATTATCTTTAATTATTTATTTTAATGTTTGGATTTCTTCTCTCCCCCCCGCCCCCCCTGCAGATAGTAAAAGAAAAATTTGCTATGGTAGCACCAGATGTGCAAATTGAAGATGGGAAAGGAACAATCCTAATATCTTCGGAAGAGGGAGAAACAGAAGGTATTAGAAACATTCATTTACTCCCCTCATTTACCTAAAGGTGCACATTAGTTTATCCATTCACTAAATGTTACTCAGTTTCACACCTGTGGAATTGAGTTTAATGTAGCTGAAGGAGGAGATGTTTGGCCATGGGAGCAGTGCCTTGGAGTCACCACGGTCTCATATTTGGGAACTCCATGGAATCATGGTGCCCCAGATTTGGTCAAGTTCTCTGAACTATGTTTTGATAACTTAGTGTACAAGATACTTACGACTTACAAGAGCAGTGACCACATACTCTTGTCTACTTCAAGGAAACTCCTCATCTGGGAGCTAAATTAGTGATGAGGTGACAGCTCTGGCTGTTAGATCAGAGTGGGGAGGGTAATACAAGGCTATTCAGTGTTTTGTTTGAGAGTACAGAAGCCTTGATAGTCTGTCCCTACTCTATAGCAGAAAATATTGCTGAAAACCAATGCCCAGTTTTGACTTTCCTTTTCAAAAGTTCAAGCAGGTCATTTTGTTAATACATTTGTTATACAAGATATAAGATATTTATTTCTGATTAAGCTTTCTTAGTTAAAATCACATCACAGTTTACCTCCTTCATACTATACCAGTGACTCTGAGTACCCCTGTCAGTTTTGCAGTTTATCTCCTAGGTTACCATTTTAGTTGATCTCCATATCCCACTTTTTGACAGTTTAACTTTATTTTAGAAAGCTGGGAACACTGTTTTACCTGTATATTAACTTTACTTATTTACGTGTTTGTTCAGTGATCATTGCTTTGGTGCACTATGCTAGATCCTGATGGGAATTCAAATTTCAAGTCTTCTTAAAATTGAGATTTAGTGTTAGGATTCTTAGATTTACTTTCTTGTCAGTTTACTTGGGGTATTGGATCATGTTTAGTTGGAGGCCATGCTTTACCCTGTTTTGGTAGAAGTCAAGTTGAATACTCAGACCACATTCTAGCCAGTTGTCACCAAAAAAAAAAAGTGCTTGTCCATAACCATACACTGTTCTTTCTCCTTAGTTGAAGAGGGAGAGCACTGTTGTTTGGCCTAGAAATAGGGTGGTTGCCAGAACTCTAGCTTCAGAGATGATGCTGATTAACCGAGATAAGAACCCTTATTAACTTTTGAACATATTGAGCCTAAGGTTTGTGGTGAATGAGGATGTGTGAAGAAGAGTATATAGCACTGGGCTTGGTAATGGAAGTCTGGGTAGGAAGTATCATTCCCAAAAGTCATTCCAAATAGATTAAAAATTAAAATAAGAAACAAATCTGTAAACAGGCTAGAAGAAACTGTCAGTGTATTTTGGATTTCAAAGTCAAAATAGGGAAGGCTTTTCTAAGTATTTTCCTTTTAGAGAATGAAAGAAATGGTAAAAACTGAAAAAGATCATTAGATTTTAACTATGTTAACCAGAATTTTAAATATATATTCTGTACTTAGTGTTTGTCAGGTACTAAGGATATACAAATCATTAAGTTCTATACAGTCTGTGTCCTAACAGAGCAAATATTCAGGAATTTATAGTCATAAAGTAGACTGAGTGTTGTGAGAAGGGAGCATACATTGGGAGCAAGATGAGGAAGCAGTATGAGTCAGAAAGGCCCTAGAGCAGGTAGAAGGAGGTAGAGGCACCAGAAATTTGGTTGGAGGGATTTTCCGTTATTGGATTATTTGTAATTCATGTAGCAAAGGTTTATTGAGTGCCAGTTGGTGCCAAGCACTGCAAGCTGCATACTGGAGATAATTAAAATGAAGCAGAAATGACACATGGAGGATAAAAGTAGATGGCAATGATTATTTTTGGGAGGCCTACATAAGCACTTTTGTCTTTATGTTGAGATTTTCTCATTTCTCAATTACAAAATTAGCTAAAATTTAAGTTTACTGAGGTTGGCACTGATAACTTCTTTATAAGTAGAGTGTATTTGGAATATCTCTAAAAGGTTCTGACTCTAGAACTCAAGCATTAATTTAGTTTGAATGGGAGAAAGTTCTCAGAATTTCTCAGTTTGGTCCTCTTGAAGTCATTTTGGTAGTTGAGTATTCAGAGTTGAATTTCTAAGTTCCTAATGGGTCACCACTGCTGGGTCCTGGGGCCATAGCAGTGATCATGATAGATTAAAAAGACTGTGCTCATAGAGCTTATTGACATTGTTTTTGTGAATTTTAAATGGAGTTTAGCATATTTAAAATTGCCTGAGTGTTCCACAAAGGCATAATTAATTAAAGTATCTAAATTACTTTAATATTTTCTAGCTAATAATCACAAGAAGTTGTCAGAGTTTGGAATTAGAAATGGTAGTCGGCTTCAAGCAGATGACTTCCTTCAGGACTATACTTTGTTGATCAACATCCTTCATAGGTAGGAACTGTAACTATTTTTTTAAGTGTAAAGAATTACTTGAACTATAAAATTAAGTTAAAGTGGAGGAAAAATGTTTTCTTACCCTAATCTCTACTGTTCTTTGCAAATATACAGTATATTTGTTGGAATTGGCCACTGCCTTACTTGGTAATTCAGAAATAAAGGGGATGTGGTAGTTCAGTTTGTGTGTCAACTTGGCTGGGCCTGGTTGAGTGGCTGCACAGCTGGATATAGTATTCCCCATGATGAGACTGCTAATCAATTCCGTGGTGGAATCTACTGGGAGCAACTGAGTAACTGCCTTTGGGTATGTGGCCTGCTTCCCATTTATAAACAGTATCTTTGGGAATGGTCTCTAACCTATGGCACACTTAGACCCTGCATGTAGCCATGTTGTTGTTCAGCAGTCTGCCATGTTCTGCCGACCTTGGGACTTAAATGGACTTAAATTAATGGCCTGCTGTGTGGTTTGGTAATACCGGAACTGTGCCTTTTTACTTGTCAACCTTGGGCTTCTCAGCTTCAGCAGCCAGCAGTTGTCTGAGTGAAGAAACACCTCTAGCTCCAGTGGGCCAGGAGCAGGAAGCAGAGCTGGACCCCAAGGTTGAGGGGCTTTCATATAGCCCCTAGAGCCTGGCACTTTTAACTTGGACTTAAAGCTTCCAAACTATAAGAGAATAAACTCCTATTTGTTAAAGCCATTCCATTTGTGGTGTATCCTTGTCAGCGGCACTAGGTAACTGAAACGGGATAAGCACATTGAGGAAGAGGAAGACATGAAGAGGTACATGGGAGGTACTGACAACAAAGATGAATCCTTTTGCATGTGCAGTACTGTGTTGTCAGTGATGGCAAGCATTGATCTAAGGGTGGATATATGAGTGGACAGGCTGAACAATGCCTATCCAGTGCCCAAGCAGGGAATAGTGTGCCTATGACCATGTGTAGGGTTAGCAAATAGTATTTTTACATGTGTATTTGTATGTGCTGTAAGAATATCCAGGTGTGTAGTAGAGCCAACAAGGGGCAAGGTTATGCTTGCTTCTTAGCCACAGCCAGCTACCCAGAGGGAGCGAGTAGTTGAACCTGTGGGCTTGGGACCATGGTCACAGGGGACATCAAGTTCAGTTGGCATAACACACAACACAAAAACATTGTTTTAGATCCTGCTTTGGTAAGTAGCAACTGGGATCTTAAAAGTGGGCAAGCGCCCATCTAGATGCAATGATGGATCTCCTCATCCAGAGCAAAGAAGGAAGAAAACCAAAGATGTATAGAAATAATGGTGGACTGTGACCATGACACCAGATGATCATGAGACCAGAAGAACTAGATGATATGCAGTTACCACTAGGAGAGCAATCAGTGCAGGACATCCTGGATAGAGTGGGAGAATAGTGTGGAACAAAACTCAAAAATCATTTAAAAAAAAAAAAAAAAAGACTAGGTTTGCTGGTCTGATAGAGCCTGGTGAGACCCCTGAGACTGTGGCCCCTAGACAACTTATAGGTCTGGAATTGAACGCACTCTTGTGGCTTCCAGCCAAACAGTAGACAGATGTATGATGTGAACCATTTACATCAAGTAGATATACTACCTGGAGTGATCGATCATGGGAGAACAGAAGGTCAGCGTTTGCATAGGGAGATAGCTCAAGGAACTGAAGTGCATGGGAGAGAAGGACACAGAGAAGAGGTAACTACTGGGAAGAAGTAGGAAGAGACCTGTTAAATTGTGGGAAATTGCAATCAGTGTCATGAGACAAAATGTGTATGAACTGCTGTATGGAAAATGAATTTGTGAAAGTCTTGACCTAGATGGCTTCGTTGGAGAATTTTACCAAACATTCAGGGGAGAGTTGACACCTATATTTCTCAAACTATTCCAGAACATAGAAAAAGTTGGAATACTCCCAGATTCATTCTATGAAGCATGCATAACACCGATACCAAAATCAGGGAAAGATGCCACTAAAAAGGAAAACTACAGATATGGGAGCTCTGGTAGCATAGTGGCTAAGGCACTTGACTGCTAACCAGAAGGCTGGCGGTTCAAACCCACCAGCCACTCCTCGGAAGGAAGGTTGGGCAATCCTACTTCCGTAGTGATACTGCCTCGGAAACCCAAGGAGGGGTCGCTATGAGTTGGGGCCAACTCGACGACAAACAACAACAACAACTGACCAATATCCCTCATGAGTATGGATGCAAAAATCTTCAACAAAATCCTAGCCAACAGAATCAAACAATATATCAAAAAAATAATACATAATGACCATGTGGGCCATACCAGCTATGCAAGGATGGTTCAGCATCAGAAAAACAGTCAGTGTAATCCACAGCATAAACAAAACAAAAGAACTGAACTGTATAATCCTATCACTCGATGCAAAAAAGGCATCCAATAAAACCCAACACCCATTCCTGTTCAGAACTCTCAGCAAAATAGGGATAGAAGGGAAAATCCTCAGCATAATAAAGGGCATATATGCAAAGACAACAGCCAACATTATTGTTAATGGAGAAAGACTCAAAACATTCCCCTTGCGAATGGGAATCAGACAAATATGCCCTCTATCACCACTTCTATTTACCATTGTATTGGAAGTCCCTGCCAGGACAGTAAGTCAAGAAAGAGAAATAAAAGGCATCCAGATTGGCAAAGAAGAAATCAAAGCTATATCTATTGGCAGATGACATGTTCCTATTCATTGAAAACCCAAGAGACTCAGCAAAAAAACTACTGGAACTAATAGGTTCAGCCAAGTGGCAGGATACAAGGTCAATATACAAAAATTAGTTGGATTGTTCTACATCAACAAAGAGGCCTCTGGTAAGGAAAACAATACTGTTTATAATAGCTACCAAAAAGATAAAATATTTAGGAATAAATCTTACTAGAGACACAAAAGACCTACACAAAGAAAATTACAAAACCACTACTACAAGAAACAAGGGATCTGCATAAATGGAAGAACATGCCTCGTTCATGGATAGGAAGTCTGAATATTGTGAAAAGATCAATACTACCCAAAGCAAATCTACACATTCAGTGCAATCCCAATCCAGATTCCATCAACATTTTTTAAGAACATGGAAAAGACAATCACTAATTTCATATGGAAACATATAGCCATAGTAGTTAAAACTGTGTGGTATTGGTACAATGATAGACAGATAGACTAATGGAATGGAATCAAAAACCCATTAAATGGAGAGATAGCCTCTTTAACAACAAAATTGGATATCCACCTGCAAAAAATGAAACAAGACCCATACCTCACCCTGTACACAAAAACGAACTCAATTTGCATCAGAGACTTAAATGTGAAACCCAAAACTGTAAATTTCAGCAAAGATAACATAAGGGCAAATCTAGGGCTCCTAATTTAAAGCATAAAAAGACTATCAAGCATAACTGAAAATGCAAAAGCAGAAGAAGAGAAACTAGATGACTGGAACCTTTAAAAGTTAAAATCTCAAGTGCATTGAAAGACTTCTTAAAAAGGGTAAAAAGGGAACCTACAGATTGGGGAAAAAATATTTGGCTATGACATATCTAATAAAGGACTTATCTCCAAAATTTATAGAAAACTCCCAATACCTCAACACCAAAAAGACAACCCAGTTAAAAAATGGTCAAGGGACATGAACAGACATTTCACTAAATAGGATGTATTGATGGCCAACAAATACATGAGCTAAAGCTCACGGTCATTATCCATTAGAGAGATGCTATTGAAACAACAAGATACCATCTTACCTCACCAATAATAGCAAAGTTCAACAAGACAGAAAATAACAAATGCTGGTCAGGTTGCAGAGAGATTGGAACTTTCATATACTGCTGGTGAGACTGTATAATGGTGTAACCATTATGGACAATGGTATGATGTTTCTTAAAAAACTGAAAACAGAAATACCATTTGATCCAGCAATTCCATGACTAGGAATATATCCTAAAGAGGTGAGAGACAAAACACAAACAGACATATGCACACCCATGTTCATCACAACATAGTTCACTGTAACAAAGAGATAGAAATAACCTAAATGCCTATCAACAGATGAATGGATAACCAAACTGGTACATTCACACAGTGGAATACTATGCTACATTAAAGAATACTGAAGAATACATGAATCATCTCACAACGTGGATGAATTTGGAAGACATTATGCTGAATGAAATAAGTCAATTGTAGAAGGACAAATATTGTATGAGCTCATTATTGTAAAAAGTCAAGGAAAGGTTTACTTAGGGAAGGAAACTCATTTTGTTGGTTACCAAGGATAGGAGGGAAGGGGAAGGAAAATTTTGGACTAGTTTTGGATTACATGTTGATTTGGGTGAGGGAAGGGATGATATGGAAAGAATCTGTGACCAGCATGATGACATTAGAGAAAGGAAGGACACTGAAAAGTACACATAAGATACAGAAAACTAGTAAATGTACAATACTGCATTACCATTAACAGCAAACACCAGGCTCTGGATAAATACATAGACAAGTGAGAAGATTAGGTGGGGGTTGGTGAACAGTAATATGCCTTAAACCAAGGATAGATTTGGCCAAAGATAACCTTACATATGCATTTGTGCTGCAAAATTGGCCACACACATTACAGAAGCAACAGAAGACAGAGTTGGAATAATCTTTCAGAGACAACCATATACCCTGAGAGGGAGAATCATCAGGCCTGCTGAATTGGGACCATAGTCTCTGCGGACATCATGTTCAATTGGTACAACATAGTACATGAAAATCTTTTTCCACACCCTACTTTGGTGAGTAGCAACTGGTGTCTTAAAAGGTTCCGAACAGCCATCTAAGATGCAACTATTGGTCTCCTTTCATCTGAATCAGAGAAGAGTGATGAAAATCAAAAGTATCTGGAAACAATTAGTCTAAGGATAAGATGAACCACAAGGACTTTAGTCTTCATGATACTGAGACCAGAAGAATTAGATGGTGCCCAGTTACCAATGCCAGCCAG